TCTTAGATCTGCTCTCTGGAGAGACACAAAACAAACCTAATCCCTCTACTAGACAGCTAATCTCTTTATGTGATGCTCTTAAAAGAAATTATGGTGACTCAGGCTACAATTCTATCAAGGATATAATAAACCCAATACCTTTTCCCTCCTTCTCCTTTAGTGGCAGAGCAGGCTTACATGAATCCACTTAATATACTGGGCAGGGAAAATGTACTCCCTTTACCCCCCTCCCCCCAGGTCCTGGTGCTTCAGCCCAGATCAAGGCCCCACTTGGTAGGCTGCCCTGGATGGTCAGAGTCCAGCAAGGGGTGGTGCTAGACAGGCAGACTCCCTTGGATTTTCTTCCCTGTTACTGTAACACATGGCTTTCTGCTGGTACTTGTGTATATCTAGCCCAGAGGCTCTCTTTAGTCTGGGTCAGAGGTCATAGATTCTCAATTATTTCATGTGCATTAAAATCCTGAGAATTTTCCACAGGATCCAACTCCCATGAGTTTAATTTAGTAGAAATGAGGCAGGCTCAGTAATCCATATCTTAATAAGCACTTCAGGTGCTGATTGCCTCACTATACTTTACATTTGAAGAAAACACACTGATCTAAGTGAAGACACTATACAATGTGAAAAAAAAAAAACGAGTAAAAAATACCTTGCATTTTGGTTTTATTTAACTATAAAACACATACATTTAACATTTAAATTGTCCATTAATAGAAATAATACTTTAAGTCTATCAAAATTATTCCAGATTAAGGAGGGGACAAATAGCATCATTTATGGGTTACAGATGGATAAACTAAAGTATTTACTGGGAAATATTTAACATAGGCCTTAAAAGGGAGACAGACACTTGAATTATAGCATGTCCCTTGGTTTGGACTGGCCAACAGAATAGGGGTAAGAATTGAGGAACTTTACAAGGAGAGCACATGCTGGTCCACACTTAGCTGATCAACCTCATGACTGAAGTTAACACACAAATCACACCTGGCTAAGCATCACCACACATATCCTATGTAACTCTGTGAGAATTTTAATAAAGCTATAGAGGCATTCCAGCATACAGGTTACAACAAGTTAAAACATTTCAGAGTAGTCTAAATACCTGGATAGTTTAATTACACAAAGAAAACCCTTCTTTCCTTTGGGAACAACAGCTTATAGCTGTTGTGGTTCTTTTACAAATAAAAGGGTTGTCTTATCTCTAACTCAGGTTTGAAGTAATGTTATTCCAAAGCAGCCCTGGAGATTCGAGGCAAAGTGAACCCATATCCTACTCAGTAGCTTAACAGTAAATTGACTAAAGAAGTTGAGTAACAAATTTAGAAAAAGGTTTTGGTGATAAGATCTTACTTTCCAGCTAAGATACTTAACACATATCTTTGCAAAATAAAATTATTTAAAATAAATGTAGTGAAGGCATCTAACTTTCATTTTCTGTTAGGGATGAAGACTTTCACTGGTTCGCTGACCTTCCTCTTCTTCCTGGAGCTTTCAGAACTTTGCTGACTGTACACAAAATTCATTCTTTGAATCTGTGAGAATCACCAGAGAAAGACACAGTTCAGCAGAGATTTTGACATCTGCACAAGACATATATAAGACAGGTAGACCAAGAATTAATCCCTCAAGCTGCATAACGGATCCAAACCTGCTTTCCTGTGGGTTGGTTTGGCCCTGCATGAAGGCCTTACTGCCAGTATCAGAGTCTGATATTACAAGTTTCAGGAGTTGAGGTCTCCTGGAGGCAGCCAGTTTTGGGGACAGTTTCTTGGATCTCTCTTGTGAATTCAGCACATTCAACTCTTCAAGAGAGAGTTGTCAAGGTGTGGGGCCAACTAGGAGCAATTCAGGGTTAGGAGAGTAAATATTTAGAGCATTGATTGCTTTAGAGACAGCCATAATTTAAGTCCCTATTTCAGTTAGCAGAGATACAGTCTTATTTTTTTCTATCATATGTTCAGATTAATGAATTAAGAAAGATCCCTCTAATATGTTATTGATTAAAAGCAAGTTGAGGGCTGGGACTGTGGCTCAGCGGTAGAGCACTCACCTAGCATGTGCGGGGCTGGGGGTTCGACCCTGAGCACCACATAAAAATAAATAAAGATATTGTGTCCAACTACAACTAAAATAAATAAATAAATATTTAAAAAAGCAAGTTGATTAGTGAGCCATCATTAACCATCATCATCTCCATTGGGCTTAGCTTTGGTAAGGATTTTAGGACTTGTTTTTGCTTAACTAAGTAAAAATCTGGATATAGTATAATCTGTCAGACAATCTCTAGTGCCTGGAATTCCAAGAAATACATAGAGAACATTTATATATTTTCTAGCTGCTAGATGGGAAA